AGTTTGGACATTCCATAAATATTATTTAGCTAACTTATGTATTTTAATATCAATTGTACTAATATAACCTTTATTTCAGTGAGGCACTAAGTGACTAATATATCCCTGACTTTTGATATGTTTCTCTCAATTAGCTATTGAATTAAAAATGTATTTTAAAAATTTGATAAGTTTTGTATTTGTTATCGGTTTTACATATATAATATATCAAATTAATCATCTTTTGATGATCTTCGATTTGACATCCATATTGTATATATGAAATAAATAAATTATATTTATCTTTATAATAATAACAAATAATAATATTTATTAAAATTCATTGGAAAAATAAAATTATTTCTTAATTGATATATTTATGTTTAATGTAGTTATATGTTGTAAGCTAAAAAAATTATTATAATATAACACATGTAAGTTGCACAAATAAAAAGTGTCATACTAAATATATATATTTTTTATAAAAGGTATTTAAATTTTCAACTACTTTTATCATTAATTTTAAATTTTAAGAAAAAAAAAAATTAGCAAACACCCGTGTTATACACAGACGTTGTACTAGTTTAAATTAACGTGGAATTACTCATATCCAACCAAAACGTACTAGAAGTCCTATTCGTATACGGAACAGGAATACAAACAACCTTGCGGACATAAATAGACAACACGCAAAGCATTAATTGGCAAAAATAAAATCGATCGATGGAGCCAGCTGCAGCTGCCTCTCCTAAAATTCAACCACTACTAGTATTAATACATATGTACAACATATGTGTTGAGTTAATGAATATATGTGTAAAATGATTTATGTCTAATACTAAACCCAACTCCAGAACAAAACTAATATATAAACAACATCACGAAGCATAGATTTTCGCTATGTCAGCATCTGAAGCATGAGAATCTGCCACCTAGACTCAACATGTTTTGAATTAATATATAGGGAGGGATATTCCAGCTCTCCTAATATTCAACATCTATATTCTTATACCATTATTCCTCACGAATTTGCTTCTTTCATAAATTTGTCAAGAAATTTTCTTTCATATTTCCCAAAAGTCAACCCAAACAACAAAGCTATGGAAGGATATATAATTGACGTTTTAAAAAACGTCTTTATTTTTAATACAATTTTAATGTAAATTCGTAGATGTATAATTTTTTTAAAGAAAATTGATCCAACAGAAATAGCATAATAAAAACTTTTAAAGAATTCAAATATTTTTAAAAATTTATTTACAATTTTAACAAACAATAAATCTTGGTAAAAAAAGGACAACTCAATTGAAGGTAACTTGTATATAATAAATAATTTAAAGATATATACTTAACAGTAATTAAGAGAAGATATCTAAAATTTTAATGAAAGCATGCACCGTGAAATATATACATAATCTAACAAACTAAAAAGTGAACAATTTATTTAACTACTTCAATATATAAGAAAATAATCTCTTTTATATAAAAATAATATAGAAATTGAACCTTCGTTTTATTGGATTAGATTTTGTACCCCACAAAAATCGTCATTTATTTATTTGTTTGTTTTTTTTTTTTCTATTTTGGTAACAAAGTCAATAAAGTTAATGAATCTTAATCTGATTATTAGGTTGTTAATATCAAGACGAATAATATTTTAGTTATTAACACTTAAAATATTTAAACATTTTCATTAAAATAAAGTAAAATATATCATATGATATTTTAATTATTATTCCTTTATTTGAGCCAAGATGGGCGCTAAATAAACAACGAGAATTAAAATTATTGTATTGAATATTTTATATATTAATATTAATGTACGATTTTTAAATGATTTTCTCAATGACATTTGAGAGTTTAATTGACCGTAAGTATCCTATCAAATAAGAGAATTATATTTATTTAGTTTTTAAAGTTTATTAATACCTCTAAGTAAAAAACTTGAATCGGTATTTTTTGTTCTCATAACGACCACAAAGTGTAGAAATATTATTTTTCAAATTAACCTATAAAAGAATAAATTGTGTAATAGTATGAGAGATTAATTGTTCAATAATTATTTTGCAACCTAAACTTCTATTCTACTAATTTTTTTTTTTGACTAAAATAAGATTATAATAATTTCACACCCAGATAAAATATCAAATTGGTGAATGCTATCTTGTTTATTAATATTTTTCTATCTACGAAATTCTCAACTTATTTTAACTTTTATGTTCGTAATCAACGACACAATTTTTATTTTAAATTACAATATATCGTTTTCTTTCTGAACGAACCTGACACAAAATAAATATTATTATAATAATTTTCAACCACAAAATGTTAATGTGGAAGAAGATGAAAAACAAAAATAACTAAAACTACATTTTCCAACCACTTTCTTGTGATCTAACAAACATGGGTCATACGAATTGAATAAACATGTTTATATCATGATAGCTATATATGGTTGTGTAAGCATTTTTATTTATTCATTTTATTTAAAGCAAAATATTAGTGCTTCTGTTGAATTCGTAACAAAAATTTAGCCTTTGTCGTCATCAAGTTAGAAACTTACTTTGTAGTATAAACCCACCTCATAATTCCAGTTTCTATACAAAATACATATTTTTGTTTCACATCGTTCGTTTGTTTTTGGTTGCTTGTATTCTAATTTCGAAATTCTTATTGGTTTCTGGTGTGTTATGTCTTATTTCAAATTTCGAAAACATATATATATATATATATATATATATTCCTTGTGGATATAATTAATGAAGATTCAATTCGTATGTTATGCTGAATGTTACTTATGGTAACTTGGAACGTATAATTATTATTATTTGAATAAACGGGCTAGTATATTAGTAGAGGTATGTTGACAGAATTGAAATTAAAATTAAATGACGAGATTAACAGCTAATTACGTGTTGGTGCATGTGATTAAACATGTAATTAACAGTTTAATTAATTAATTAATTTATTTATTTGTTATGTGGTAGGTTGAAAGGAACATAAACATGGTGTATGGTGGTGGGAGTATTGGACTCATGGACCTCGTCTCTCAAGCTGTGTATGATGGTCGACGCCACGTGTTAGGGTACTAATATTATTATTATTATTATTATTATTATTATTATTATTATTATTATTATTATTATTATTATTATTATTATTATTTAATTTGTCAAATATTCAAATAAATAATCCAATGAATATGCCAAACATCGTTTATTATATATATTTGAAAATTTTATCCATGGAATTCTAATTAGAAATTGACGATTCCAACAACGATTTTTTGGACAGACTATTGTTGTAGAAATTTTTTATTGTGATACGTAATTTCTGTTGATTTTTTTTTTCTAACAATAATAAAACCACTCGAAAAATTATTGTTGGAATTGTTAAATTCAACGAAAATCTCAATGAAAATTAATTCTAACAACAGATTTAATTTTGAAATATCCATTGGAATTATGTTAGATTCT